CCAGCACCACACAGTAAGTAATTATTGTAACATTGAACAGTTCAGTGCCCAGATCTGTGCCACAATACAATCCTGTCTCTGCACTCTGCTGGCAGTTCCTTCCACCTCATAGCTTGGTTTTTGCTCTGATATGCATTGTCACCTGTGCGACCTTATATAGGCAGGTGTGTGCATTTCCAAATCAGGTCCAATCAATTGAATTCACCACAGCTTGGCTCCAATCAAAGTGTAGAAAACGTCTCAAAGATGATCAAGAGAAACTGAAGCCCCTGAGCTTGTGTCGTAGCAAAGAGTCTGAATACCTGTTTTAATTTTTCATTTTTTTCCCCCTTTTTAATAAAATTTGCAAAAAATTATAAAAATTTTATTTGTTTTTTTAGTATAAGGCTGCAACATAACAAAATGTCAAGAAGGGGTCCGGACACTGAATTTCATCTTCAGTTTTTTTAAAACGTATTTGAGCCAAAAAGTTGGTTTGTCACTATTACCTTCTGCAAAATATCCTATCCTCCCTCTCTACCGCCCTCATTCAAAATGGCCGCCACTTTCTCTGACTGGTTAGGGGAGTTTGTTTGCTGAATCTGCTAGTGTGTTTTGTCCGAGTTGATGATGTTGTTTGTGGTAGCATAGGCAAGATAAAGGAGAAAATAGTCATGGTGTGAGGAGCAGTGATGGCTGGCATTAGGGGAGTGACTCTGGGACGCCAGTGATCACTGTCTAGCCTCCTGGAGGTGTCGTGGGACCAACTAGACGAAACACTGGTGAAACGAGGTTTCCACCTGATGACCCCAAAGACATGTTAGTTATCACTGCTCATTAGTCTGTGTAGCCAAATTAATACTTATCATAGGACTTAGGATGTTAAGCTTAGGGAGCTATTCACTGAGTCTGATCCATTTTCTGTAGCACAAGTTTCTTGTGTTTACCTTAAATTCCCAACCCACTGATTCTATCACTGATGTATAACTTTACACAAAACACCGTGGGTCAGGGTTCTGCACCGAAGATTAGTGCTTATACAAATGCATGATGTAGGATTTCAAATCTTAGGCACGAGTTTCCACAAGATTTATAGTATACTTGAGATTATAAGTCTCTAAGAAATGTGATATACATTGTTTCTACAGACCATATACAGTCTGTGCTACAGACACATTGAAATGTTCTCTGAAATAAAACTAACTTAACGGCACATTCAGGCCGGCCCTCTATAAAAGGAGAGTAAAGAAACAGCTGAGTGTGTAAAATAACACCTACAGAGTACTCTGAGGAACATACATACAAAAACCCACCAAATTGCTTCTATTTTCAATATAGTGGTATTTATAGAAATATTTGGGTGATGTTCTGCTTTACTTACCACATTCAAGACTGCAAATCTCTTAAGATTGGGTGACCCACTGGATCTTAATGCAGCATGACGCAGCTGATGAAGTCGAGGTATTGGGGAAAGTTGTAGACAGGTGAGTGCTGCCCTCCTGCGGTAAGTGAAGGGATAAAATCCCGACAGGGTGCGCATGCTCAGTTTAGCCGTTGGGTTCAGCGATATAAAATCGTCCGTAGCCCAGTGTGTGCCTTCACCTTCAGCCATCTTAATCATGTTGGGTGCTGTGGGACGGTGCTGCAGCGGGGCTCTGCAGGCTTTTAAGCCTGGGATTAACTCTTTAAAGACGATCAGTGCGAGACATGCAGCTCTTAATTTGAGTAAGTGCATACTTTTTAAACATGGGTCGACTGTCAGGATTATATGTCCCGTGACTTGTCTCTAACACAAATGGATGCATGCAGGGTGGGTCAGGCCTCAACTTTACCATGGATTCTCTCTCATTTATTTGCGATCAAGTGATTTTTATTCAATCACAGCTGCTAAATTAAGTTTGTATTTGGTCATGATGTTACTTCAGTCACACTGTGTATCGCCAGTCATTCTCCTGTTTTCTGACTCCATTCAATGACCTTTCAAAGTAGCTCAGTACAAGTCAAATGTTTGACTCACTTCATGTTTGAACATTTCAACTCTAGAGTTTCAGTGACAACAAAATATGGGTGATGCTATCATGACACACCAAAATATGTATATTTATCATATTCTGTCTTGTAGATTTTGTGTTACTCACATGGGTAATACTGATCATATTTTATTCTCTTTTTTTTTTTTTTTAGTGACTAGAAATATTTTTATTTTTCAAATCTAGTTGCTGCTGTTTCATGTGAAGTCAAGTTTAATATGTTGTCCTTTTCCTTTCCTGTCACTGTCCTCCCAGGCAGGGGTTATGCTGCCCCAGCTGCTCAGGCTGCACTGGCCAATGGCCGCATCGTTGCTGTGATTGGTGCTGTGGTGGATGTCCAGTTTGATGAAGGCCTTCCTCCCATTCTCAATGCACTTGAGGTGGCTGGCCGTGAGAGCAGGCTGGTGCTTGAGGTGGCACAGCATCTGGGTGAGTGGGTTAGGGTGATCCTTGGGTTTGAAATACTACTTGACAAATCACTGTTTGGGTACCTGTTAATGAACTTTGAACATTGTCTTTACTGTCTCTCCTTGTGTGTTTCTCCAGGTGAAAACACAGTCAGGACTATTGCCATGGACGGTACAGAGGGTCTAGTACGTGGTCAGAAGGTTCTGGACACCGGAGCCCCCATCAGGATCCCTGTGGGCCCTGAGACCTTGGGCAGGATCATGAATGTCATTGGAGAACCCATTGATGAAAGGGGACCAATTAGCACCAAACAGTAAGTATTGATAGGATCACAGTGCTGGAGTTATTCTGTAGTTTTCTTGATGTCAACAAAACCAATGGCAATACCAAAACCAACATTGTGTTGGTCAGTCTCTAAAGTATTTCTGACTTCCCTGCCCTGTCTGTGGCAGCTGCACGGCCATCGTTTTGTTATTTTGGTGGCTTGGGTCTTTTCTTGCGATTTGACAATAAAAATATATCCTATAAATCGTATATTTAATCATGATGCTTATTATCTTGCAGGACTGCTCCTATTCACGCCGAAGCCCCTGAGTTCACAGACATGAGTGTGGAACAGGAGATCCTGGTCACTGGCATCAAAGTGGTCGATCTGCTGGCACCCTACGCCAAGGGTGGAAAGATTGGTTGGTGGATCATAATTACCCTCTTGAATTTTTTTTATTTATTTATTTTTTGCCAACAATCAAATTTTCAAACATGCTTGTCATGATAATTGATTATTTTGCATGCTGCATTTCTTCAGGTCTTTTTGGTGGTGCTGGTGTCGGCAAGACTGTATTAATTATGGAGCTGATCAACAATGTAGCCAAAGCACATGGTGGTTACTCTGTGTTTGCCGGAGTGGGGGAGCGAACCCGTGAGGGAAATGACTTGTACCATGAAATGATTGAGTCCGGTGTCATTAACCTGAAGGACACCACCTCAAAGGTAACAACCTCAATTCCTTTAAAACTGTTATTTGTTAAAGTTTAGCACAGTTTAGCTTTTCTAATTAAGATCCTTAGCACAGCGTAGCACGTGATGTTAAGTGTAGTTTATCAGTTTGGATGGGATTCATGTAAATCTATTCTGTGTTTAATTCATGCTAAACTTCATGTCCTCAGGTAGCGCTGGTGTACGGTCAGATGAACGAGCCCCCAGGTGCCCGTGCCAGAGTTGCTCTTACCGGTCTGACTGTTGCTGAATACTTCCGTGATCAGGAGGGACAGGATGTGCTGCTCTTTATTGACAACATCTTTAGGTTTACCCAGGCTGGATCAGAGGTTCATAATACCACATAGATTTTTTTTCATTATTTGCAGATGTTGTTGCATATAAATCTTGTGTATGAATATTTGTGTAATTTTTCTTCAGGTGTCTGCCCTGTTGGGTCGTATCCCCTCTGCTGTGGGTTACCAGCCTACTCTGGCCACTGATATGGGTACAATGCAGGAAAGAATTACCACCACTAAGAAGGGCTCCATCACCTCAGTACAAGTGAGAAGACACAAGATGCTAATCACATGTCAGCACACTCTTGCTTTTTCTTGATTATTTGTACTAAAATTGTTAATTGTGTTGCAGGCTATCTATGTGCCTGCTGATGACTTAACTGACCCTGCTCCTGCCACAACTTTTGCTCACTTGGATGCAACAACTGTGCTGTCTCGTGCTATTGCTGAGCTTGGTATCTATCCTGCTGTGGACCCTCTGGATTCCACCTCCCGCATCATGGACCCCAACATTGTTGGGGCGGAACACTATGATGTGGCTCGTGGTGTACAGAAGATTCTTCAGGCAAGCCTCATGTTGGATGTTAACAAATTTTGAATGATTGTCAACAATTTCTGCAATCCAAAACTAAACTTAAAATTTTGTATAACGGCTAAACTTTTCTTGTTTTTTAGGATTACAAATCGTTGCAGGACATTATTGCTATCCTGGGTATGGATGAATTGTCTGAGGAAGACAAGTTAACTGTAGCTCGCGCTCGCAAGATCCAGCGTTTCTTGTCGCAGCCTTTCCAGGTAGCAGAGGTCTTTACTGGCCACTTGGGCAAGCTGGTGCCTCTCAAGGAAACAATCAAAGGCTTCAAGAGCATTCTAGGAGGTAGAGTGCTGCACCAAGGCCAAAATATTATTAAATGGGATGAACTTAATGGAAATTTAATAGTAATGGCTATTCTTTTCTCTCTTCAAGGTGAATATGATGCCCTGCCGGAGCAAGCTTTCTACATGGTGGGTCCCATCGAAGAAGTAGTCCAAAAGGCTGAGAAACTGGCAGAGGAGCATTCATAAGTGATTTATCTGCAAGGTTGGAAAGTTTTATGAGATAAATATTTGTACAGTATGATTTCTATTTGAGGAACTTCTAAGGTGTCATGCTAAGTATGTTGTGTTGTGGTTCCATTTCTCTGGAAAGGCGAAGATGAAATTAAAAAATGACATTGTGATATATAAATTTTTTTTTTGTCATGGTTTTTTTCCCATTAGTTGCACCGTCAGTCAGCAAAGATTCTTGGTGAAAATGAAAAATTTGTTTTAATGAAAACATGTCTCATTGGTAAGAAGACATAACACTTACATAATACTAAGGTTTAGCCTATCATGTGGCGAAGTTTCTTATTCAGTTCTCTCTCTTGTGTAAGGAGACTGGCGCTGTGTTCTCTGAAGGCTTCGAAATCCTGTAAAGTAATTGGAAACGAAAACATGTTGACTGTGTTCTTAACTCGATGTAGGCCACTGTCGATTTCACTCTTCGATACTGCAGATTTCAACAAACCTTTTTAAGCTTCTCATACTTTCCTGTGGATTCATCAAGAGCACACTGGAGAGACTTCACTTTTACATCTGCATTAACTGCTTCTGCTTCCTGTTCAAACCTGAGGCAAGGTCAAGGACAAATTTAGATTGAGATACTTGTTATACTCAAGCAGTGCAATGAGAAAGATTGTTGATACATGATTTACCTATTCTCTGCTTCAGCCCGGGATTTTTTCTCTTCTTTCCATTTCCTCTCCAGCTGCTGGATTTTCGCTTGTTTCTCCTGTATGTAATCAATTCATACGTACATGAAGTGATTAGTTAATTCTTTACAAAGCTGTAATTTCAGTGAAGTGAACAAATACTCTAGTAGATCACCTGTATCAATCTCCCTCTTTCCATAGACAGAGACAATAGTTTGTCCTTCTCTTTGGCAAGGCTTGTTATGCTTTCTCTTGTGTTGATCTCCTTCAAAGCATGCTTTTCTTCTGCCATTCCTAGCTTCAGCTTCATACCTGATTGTGGAAAGAAGGCCACAATACTACAAGTGCTTTTTATTTCTCGAGAATGATAAAATATTTACCACCCACCTTTGCACGCATCTACAGCATCTCTTTGCTGTTGCTGAGCATCATGTAATTGATCAAGTAGCAATGCCTCCTTGGCTTGATGCTGAGTTGCCTGTTGCAGGAGTTTTGACTGGTATTCAGCTAATTTCTCCCTTAAACATAGATGTAAAATACAGCTTCAAAATGATGAGTGTAAAGTAAATGTTAAATAATGAGCAACTATGGCTGCAACTAATTGTTAAATATTTAAGTTACTTATTATCTAGATTGATTACTTTTTTTTCAATAGTCTATAAAATGCTGAAAAATGCCCATCACAATTTTCCAGAACCCCAGGTGACATCTTGAAATTGCTTATATACAATCCACAAACCCAAAGATATTCGATTTACAGTTCTGTAATCAGAAAACATAACAGAATAACTGAATCCTCACATTTTAAAAGCTTAAACCAGTGAATGATTGGTAGCAGTTTGATACATGACTTGAACGATTAATCAGTTAAAAATGTTGAGTTTCTGTAGCCTGATACAAATAGAAAAACTTACCGATATTCATTTTCATTATTTGTGTAATTCTCTGTCAGCAGTTTGATATCTTGCATCAGTTTTTGCACAAACACTTCTTTATCTTGTAATTTTTGGGAGAAAAGTGTGTCATTTTCTGACTGCAGCTGTTTGTTTTCCACCTTTAACTGGGCATTCAGACTTTTGTATTCTTCCATGAAAGCAATAATGGCTTGATTGTTGGCAGCTAAATCCATAAATCTCTTCTCTAATAACTCTGCTTTCTTTCTTTCGCCACCCAGTTCTTTCTGGCAGTCTGTTAAACTGTCCTCCAGCTCTGTGTTGATTTTTTGCAGGGCTTGGCATCGCAAAAGCAGCTCATCTGCTCTCTCTTTCAGTATGCAGATCAGATTTGACTGTTCATCTATCCTGGACCGCAGCATTTCTGTTTCTGTCATATCCTCTGCAGAAAAACTTAGAAGTTTGTCCAGTGACTTCTGAATAATGTCCATATCCTGGGAACAAGGGCAAATGTCCAGTGTTAAAACATGAGTGACAGGCACTTGTGGCAGCTTAAAACTAAAGCTTGACTGATTTTGGGGTTTTTGAGGCTGACACTGATATCAATATTATTGAGATACTTTACATAAAATAATTCAACAGTCAAAAGCCCCGCAATTTAGTGTTAACTATCATAGGAAAAAATATTCACATGTGAGAGGCTGACACCAGTCAAGTTTGGCATTTTGTCTTCAAACTGACTTGGAGGATTATACCAACTATAAAAAATGGCTGCCAATAAATTTCTGTTAATCAACTAAAGATTTCTGAATTTCTTGTAATTATAATGCAAATGAATGGGACTTCAACAACAAATTCTAGGTTAATCCAGCCATGCATGCTTAAAAAGAAAAATAAATTCACAAATATCTGCAAATTGGATCCTTTTAGAAGAAAATAAGTTAAGTTTGGCGTATCTTAAGACATTAAAATTTGCTGGACAGTTGACAGTTGCTAGTTTACCTCAACTGCATTTTACACCTTACTAACTTAGCTGTTTTTAAATTTAAAGTTAATGTAGACTTTAAGACTTAATTTTAATACCACTCGTATAAGATTATGTGACAGTTGTGACAGTAGCATAATTTGAGATTAAATGTGAAATGACTAGTCTTCTGCAGACTCATTAGCAAACGGTGGACTTGCACAGATTTATTGCTGACGTCATTAACTTTTACATACTGTACCTCCGTCGTGTTCATGAAGTTTTCTGCATTTCTCGGAGGAGTGGACATGATGAGTAATGGCCTATTCCCGATTGTACGTGTTATTTTTTACTCATTGCTCAGTTCCACTTTTTCGTAGGAAGTATTTCGGAGTTTCAGTTGCTCGGTCGCTAATGGCAACCATATTCGAGCGGCCCTCTCTGTTTTTGTAGCTGCGGTAGAAGGAACGTTTGTGCCGCTGCTCGGACGCGTGATGGCGGTGTTCGTCTTCTTATCAGTCACCAACGGTAGCGGTAATGCACATCTCGAATAATCATGGTGGAAGCAGTAGTATAGTTTTCCTATGTTGCTTAAGTCCTGTTTCATTTTGGTACATTATTAGTTACTCAATTATTGAGTGGTAGCTGTCGCCTTAAGGTCGCTTTTTATTGTCAGATTTTGCTTTTCCGTTAATTTTTTTTTTTTTTTTTTAAATTCATAAGCTTCTTTAAAAATCTTTGAGGACATGGCCGTACATTAAACCTCCAGGGCCTGATAATGAATTTATGGCAATTTGTGACTTTTAACCCTTGCATCAGTTTAACAACACGTAAACGGTTTAATATCAAGTTAAACACGCTTACAATGACTGACAATTTTGCTGTCGTATGTGAACATAAAGCTCAATGTGGGGAAGTGAATGTTATGCATACAGCAAGGCTCCTTGGTCGGGCTCGAGCCAGACACATGGGGATTACGTCTAGGCCTTCTGGACACCCTAATTAAAAACTTTAGTTAGTTTTACATTTTTATTACTCCCATCATTATTTTCCTCACAGGATACCGTAGACAACCCCTTTACAGAGTGGGACAAATAAACAGAGCCCATAGCCCGCTGCGAGTGAAAAATCACTGGCACCCGGGACAACTCGGACCCTACATGGCATTATGCAGGTTCCAGGGCCAGAGGGATTTATTTGGAGGGCCGAGGCTGGGTTGGGGGAGCGGCTGTCCTGGCCTTTGTGCACGCCCCTTTTCATCAACTAGCGGGCCAAGAAAGACAGACAGAGGAAAGCAACAGCATCCCAGCCTCAGTCCCTACAGCTCCTCCATCTGCACAGCGGAGCTGGACGGACCAGCCAGAATGTGGAGAGCACTGCTACTTCAACTTATTCTCATCTCCATGTGCTGTGTTAGATGGTGCCACTCTGAAGGTAAGTAGTGTGATTTTGTTATCTCCTGCTTTCTTTTTTCTGTCCACACAGGCTGGCAGTTAAATGATTCATTGGGGAACTGTTGTTGTTGAGCTACCACTGATTCACCCATTGCACTTGTTGCTCAATCAAAACAAGCCACTTAGGCTACTGTGCATATAAACTTAAGCTGAATTTTTGCTGACTTAAAATGTGTTTTACACATTTATAAAAGTATACACCTAATGAGTACAGTTCAAGATGCTAAATCAACTGAACACATGAAAATAACCTTGTTGATGACCCAAAAAGCCACTGCTTTAATGGAGCGACACTATATCTTCCAGTAATTTTGATGTGGCCAATAGGTACAGTAATTCTGGCTCTGGATCTAAATGTTTTACCACATAGTATTACTTTAAAGGTTGAGCACAAAGCCTTCCTCAGACAGATTGGAAGTTCTCTTGAAGAACTTTTCCCTGAGCTTTACTGTTGCTAGGTAACAGAAAAGAGCATGTGACTTACAGACAATCTGTGAGGACTGAGAGCTACTGGTACAAATCTCATTCGATTTTACGCCGCAGACCACTGATTCAAACTTGATTGCAGCTCGAGGAAGAACTTTATTCCCAATTGTAAGACAGAGACAGACAAAATGCTCAGATACTGCTCTTTATACATGACAGTTTTGTGTTTGTCTCTTGTTTGTAGCCCAGCTAGATCCTACTTCTCAAATTGTAATCTGCTTTCTTTTTGCTCAACTCTTAGTACGTAAGCTCCTTAGTGTGAATCAAGCAACTAATTACACTGCAGGTGCTGCAGAATGGAACCATTTCTACCTAAGGAGCAGTTTGGAGTTAAGAAAAGAAACTGTACCCAAGAGTACGAGTCACAGCTACAGCTTTCTTATTTATTTATTATGAAACATCCTGGGCCTATTTCCGCACTGGCTAACAGACAAACAAAAACAAAAAAGGTGAACTCTGCATGCCAAAAAGACAATATAATCGTGTTGATACTGAGGCTGTGGCATTTGGCATTTGAAAAAAAAAATCACTTGGCATTTCCTTTGAATCGCAGCAGTCTCAGTACTTGTAGCTGAAATTTGCTGATGACAACTGAAGTGAACAAAATGATGACTTAGCTAAAACCACAGTGTCTCAGTAGACTTTGTCAGCATGTTCATGTTGATTATTAGCACTGATCCGTTGTGATTAACAGACACTATTGTAGACTGCTTAAATAAAATTGCATGTAGTCTTGTAGGTTGTGATGATGTTCCACCACTTACTTCTAACCTGAAGTTTTAATAATGCATGATAAATGGGTACAGTAAACACTGCAATAGAATAGTATCAGGTGCTTCCTGAAAACACTCTGGTCGTGTGTGAATCAAATTGAAAGATATGTCACTTAATAATATACTGAAGAGATTAGTAATGGTTTATTTATGCAGTTTTGCTATGAGGGGGCAGGGTGTTTTCTCTAATCTCTGCTTGATCCTCCACAAAAATCCTTAAGTTTGATAATTGTTTCATCCCCACCCTTCTGTAACACATTATCCAGGCCTTATCCTCGATACTGCTGCAAAATGCTCACACTGGCAATAATAGCTAATGTGACAGTCTGAGGGGATTTAATGGTGCTGGTTTGTTAGCTACCCTCTGACATTTTATTAACTACCCTCTGTCATTTTTGCTGTTCCAGACATGTTTTGTCAGTAAATTGAGTTGTTTCTCTATTAATCAATAGCCACTGATATCTTGATAACCTATTAAGTGCACAGTAAGAACGTTTATGGTGTTAAAAATTAAAAGGAATATGAAACAGAATAATGAATACAGACAACATGTTTGTTAGTGTAATTTTAGTCTGCTTGTATTTTGGTCAGGTGCGGGGCTGGACTGTCTTGATTTGATCACACCTATTTTCAGTTTGAGTTTGAGTCTGTCACGGCATTGTTAAAAATATTATTTTCAACTTTTAAAGACACACCAACTTGGCCTACATGTGCATATTAAACCTCACACATGCCGGCTTCTTTCCGGTGTAGGAGCCTAAATCCTTGTGCAACAGTAACACAGCGTTAGAAACAAGAACGCAGTTGGCACAAATCAAGAGCAAATCCTTTCTTTTCCTGCAGCTCCCTCAGTCTAGGTTACAGACACTGAGGATGGAGTTTAGCCTCCAACTAGCAGCTGGTGAGCTGTGACTCACTGTACAGAGGAAAAATTTGTTGTCCAGTGCCTGTGTCATTGCATAGTGACAACTTCATTTATGATGTGTTTCACTATTGCTTTTGTTAAGGCACGAACCAAAAATCATGTTGAATCTTCCTTAAATCTAACCAGACCAAGGCTTTATTTCTCACTTTATTTATTTCTTCCTTTTGCTCCCATGCCACTGCCAGTGCCCCTCTGGTTTTCACTGTTTTGTGTGTAGCAGTAAGAGCCAAAGTCACTTGTTTGGCAATTGACTGCATTCTGCCGCATTGATTTCCATATGAAATAGGCAGCAGCACTTCGCTCTGACAGCATGGACGGGTCCAGCGTTTCATGCTGCCAGCAGCCGTTTTCACTACTTTTCTCTACACACATTCAGTGAGTGCAGAGGGCTGCGCCAAAACAAGACGATATTGATGAAAGCCTGAAGACATCTCTCAGGCACCCCACGGGACAAGTAAGATATTCAGAGAGTTTCAGCAGCAGTACACAGGTGTTTTCCTAATGGGTGGCCTTGAGAGGGGAGCTTATGTTTCACTTTTGTTTTACCTTATCACAGGACGTAAGTCTTACTGTACTCTCCACTGTCCATCTGCAAATTGGCTTTTCTAGGGTGACACTTCCAGTTATGAGTTTGCATCCCTGCTGGCACCTTTTTTGTGCCATTGTAATTTCACAGTGGGGTTTAAGGCGTTTGGGGGGGTTCATTCTAATGAAAATTCCTCTACTGCTCCTCTTTGTTGGGCAATAGTAGGGTGCCTTATCTTCCTGCATGGATAGTGTGGCGCTCTCTCCTGCTGTGGGTTTAAGTTGCTAATTAGAAAAGACAAGGCTAGAAAGAAGAGAAGGGAAAACACTAACAAAAAAAGGAACTCCACATCAGACTGAAACTAAACATTCTTATTAGCAGATTTGCATCACTCACTGTGTCTTTTATCTAATATTTACTGACATAGTCAAATTGTGATTTTGATTTTGGATGAAGACATATAAATTTTAGGATTAAGGAAAAGTTACAAAGACAATGTTCTTTTCAGAATGTAAGGAGAACCGTCACACAAGATAGTGCTGTTGAAAGGTTCAGCTTCAGTGTATCTGTCACCTTTCCCAGAGGTAATACTGTCAGGGAACACTGGCTGCATTTGAAAGCTTCCAGCAGATTGGTTTCTCCTTGGCGTACATGGTTTTAAGTTGTCAACCTAGGTCTGAATGTATGACAACTATAAACATCTAGATCTATTCTGAAGCAGATTTTGTTTATTTGTTTAGCTCTTTTTTTTTTTTAGTTCAATTTTGTTTTTTAAAAATGTTATGATTATTATTTTAATGTCATAACTGTGTATTTGATATTTATTTACTTACAATAATGTTGTCATGTAATACTTAAATGTACTGAACATATCCCTCATTTTCTGGGGAAATATTGTGTTTCTGTTAAATAGAGCACATCTCTTAGCCATTGTTATACTGTATGCAACACTTGTCCCTGCTGCCATGCTATAGATGATGCTGAAACCTCTGGGATCACTGCCTTGCAACAAAGGCTCCCTTTGAGTAGATTGTGAGCAATTTTATCATTAGTAAACTGAGCAGGAAAAAAAGGTTCGCTTCCTGGATAGCTGCTGTAGGAGTTAAATATGCAGCCTCTTTTGGGTTGGTCGTAAAGCAGTATGTTGGTTTTAATTAATCTGAGACAAAGATTCTTGATGGGAGCATATGCAAGGCTTTTAGTGCAGTAACACATGCAGTGACCCCACAGCTGTTGTGGAAGTG